AATTGAATATAACAATCCAGATTTTCTTGCCACCCATTTTTATATATTTAGCAAGTTTTTTTTCATACATGGTAAGCCTTGTTTTTCTTGCAATTTTTTTAGGGGATTCGTTTTCAGAGTCAGATTTTTAAACTTTCTGCATAGCAAATATTGAAAAATCGCCATTCAATTTTGTTAAAGAAAGTATAAATATATATCAATTTGTACAGGTAGAGACAAAGCCACAAAAGAGGATCTCCTTGAAATGGAGAAAATTAATTAAAGGGGATTTTCTTTTTAATATTCCAATATGATATACATATACATATATATATATATATATATATATATATGTGTGTGTGTGTGGAGACGTATAGGCATTGAATTGGTTAGGTGACTCGAACGAGTAACGGTCTTGAGATATATAAAAGTTATTATTGTTTATGTAATGTAAAAAAATAATAAAATAAATAAATAAACAACTACCAATGTTATAAAAATATATTTATTGGAAGAAGATTGGTAATGTATGTATGAGTTCCATTTTACTGTTTACGACATTCTTTATAAACACTCAATTTATTTCTAAATTATTTTCCTTCTCCAATTTCAATTTTCTATTTGTTTACTGAAAATAATTAACATTCTTAATTTATGTATGATTTTCATTTGTTGTTTCAAAGGCAATGAAATTTATATATGCACATATATATAAATTGTTGTTTTTGCTAATTTCAAATTTCATTATTCTCATATACGATTTTCTGGGCATCTGTGTGTATAAAATATTTACATTAATTAATTGTTTAATGCCTTTCTAATATCCCCAAATATAAGTAAGTATTGCAGGCCATAAACCTTGATGCCTCCGTCAGGTCATTTTATATAATCATATTTATATGATATCGTATTGTTGAAAGTTTTAGAAATACTATATTATATTTAATTTAAATAATTATAAGTAACAACAAAAATTATTGCCTAAAAAATTGAACCAAAAGTATTTAAACTAAATAAAACAGTAGTTGAATAATAATATATGATCAAAGAATGTTTAAAGAAACCACACAGTAACAGTAGAATACAATTAGTTTCAAAAGGTCCTGCATGAAAAATTAAAAAATAAAAATAAATAAATAAAAAAATTGAGAGTTGTAGGTATTGATGTCAGATTAGAAAGGTACTGAGTGCTGATTATTTATTTATTTATTTATTATTTTTTTTAAAAAAAAAAAAAAGAGTACTCAGTTTGTACGTACATGGCGTACTGTGAGTATTTTAAACACTTGTTTAACTTAATATAAATATATAATTTACTTAAATTAAAAAACTGAAATGACTGGCACTCTTCCATCACAATCTCTATTTCCTGCATTTTGTCAATAACCAAATAATTGAATAAACAATTAATTATGGAGGCAGCTGCACAAACACATGTTGTTTAATGTTATGATTTAGAAATAATCAATCAGCACAACTCAAAAAATTATATGTGATGGTAATTGTAAACATAACTAACTACTCATATTGTGATTTTTATTCTTTAAAAACATTAATATTTGAAAGCTGTTGGCTAGTGATAGATTTAAGAATCGCGGGAGACAATGTCTTTCATCACTACCATCCACTCAAGTTGAAGATGGATATATATATATATGAGTGTCTTAGTTGAATTTTCTTCTTAACCACTCCGCATATGGTGAAATTTGTATACATGTATGTGTGTGTGTGCGCGCTTTGTGTATGTACATATAAGATATGGTTAGTCATATAAAGCATGATTATGTTGTCTTTTCCTGTATGCCCACATTGGAGAGGGTTGTTGTATCAACCCTTAGTTGCTGGAGAATTGGAACTGCATGTCCAATGTCTAATCTAGACATTACATGATAATTTTCTCAAAGATTTTCAATTAAAATGGTTAAATTTTCGTTTAATACTTCAAACAGGAAAGGAAAAACTTTTTCTGCTCTCTCTCTTCCTGATTTATATATATTATCCATTAAAGCTAACAAATCACTTATTAAAATACTATACTTTTTAGTAAGGAAGAGAAATTTAAACAATAGAGAATTTTTATCCATGTAAACCTAATAACGTTTCGACATTTTATAGGCAGTAGAAAGGATGAGTTCGTATCTACAAATCACCTGGTGCATAACATAAATCACGATTATATCTAATCCATTTAATAAGCTCATGATCTCTAATTTAATACATAATTCATTAATAACTAGGTTAGCTATCAAAATTTATTTGACTTAGTCTTTTTAAATATGTCAGATGAGCTTTAACTAATCTAAAATTCAAATTGATTAACTTCATGCGTGTGTTAAACTTACAGATTTTGTAATGATATCATATATATATATATATATCTATAAATTATATTATATATTGACACACATACATATATATGATTATGTATATATTAGTACATGTACATATATGAAATGTGTTAATGGGTTATAATAAATGAGTTCACGGGATTCAATCTGATTAAAACTATTCTTTTGACACATTTAAAAAGATTTATCTGTTAATAATTTAAACCCGTTTAGATATGCGTCTAAAGTAAACTAATTGCACAAATAGATCATGCTGATTCCTCCATAAACTGCATAGACTTGTATACTTTGTTTTATTATGAATCTGATAGTTAAGAAAGCCGTATAAATTGCAAAAACTTAATCGATACAGTATAAAAAGTCAAAGTGTATTTTCCTAAATGGAAAATACATAAAACGGGCAGCGCTATTTGCATGTCTTTTTCTTTGTAAGCATCAACCTGGTGAAGGTGAACGGTGACGAAGAAAAAGAGACGTTGCCAACAGGAAGAGAACTGAGGAATTTCGAAGAAGGCTGTGGAGAAATTAATGAAGGAAGACATTACTGATTTAAGAGAGAGTCAATTCAAGCACACACCTTGAGAGTTTTACCAGACCTGTATCATCATGGCTTGATCATATAGTAGTTGAAGACTGGAAGAGAAAATGAAATTTTATATATATATTTTCTTGGCTGCTATATAGTAGCTTTTCTGGCTGGCCTTCCGCACCCAGAAAAGGGCTCATGCATCGTCAACACAGTTTCAACTTTCATGTCTTCAAAATCCATTCTTTTTTCTCCAGGAAAGTAAAAATAGTAGGAAAGTCATCCGACAAAATCCATGATGTGATTTGATTTGGTAGAGAATATATATCAGAGTTCAACAAATCTTCCACCTGAGAACCTTGAGCTACCTTCCTTGCTGTTGCTTTGAGCTGACTGCTTTCCTCTCCCATTTTCAACTATAAAGGCAACTACCCTTTTCGAAAAATCAAATTTTTTGGTCCTCCAACTCCAGCATAATGTTTTCCTTCTCATAGTGCGGAAGGAGAGAGAGAAAGAAACGTGTTCAAGCTTAGCCATATACAGGCTGCGTATTAAGCAGTGAATCTAACACAGCAGGTTACAAAATAGAATGGTTATTGGATACATGTTGAAAAGAGAAAAACTATAATTGCTTGAGAATAGCTGAGAATCAAAATTGAAAATAATTGTTATTAATTATGATTATCAGAACTTTTTGGCCGCTAAACAAAAATACTTGCACTTTGCTCATACCCATGGACTTATGATATGCAAAAATAGGGTATGAACAAGAGAATTCTACAAGGTAATTTGCCTCAATCAGACTTGGGCATTGACTGTTAACTAATATATATTTCATGTATGCACATTTTTGCTGTACCCCCAACCCCATAAGAAAAGAGGGAAAAAAAATTGAAAAACCTTCCAACTCCTGCAAATGCCACAAAAGGACATATGTAAAAGGCTACCTATGGTGTCTAGCATTCGAACTACGCAGCGTCACACCATGTAAAAATTTTGTATATCCAAGTAAACTAAGCTTCCCATCAGTGTTTCTGATCCAATCTCTGAGGAATGAATAAGCTGAACGGCCTACATTTAACTCCTGCAATAAGATATTTGGCGCATAAGTGGATAATAACATTTCAATAGAACGAAGCCCAATGGAGTTCAAAAGCCTCTAATCAAACATTACCCTTGCCAGTTCTTCAATTGAAATAACTCGGTTACCCTCCTGTTCAAAATGCTCAAAGGCATTGCTTGCAATCTGATCCCACCCTTCAAGAGCCTCCAATTGATGCGTGCTAATAGCAGCAGCACAGAACTCTTCAAAGTACATCTTCCTATAAGCAAGCGAGTCCATCTGGTTTAAAGATCAAGCATCAAGGTGAGAAAAAATAATTTGATAAAAGAAATAACACCAAAATGAAAGTCATCAGATTGAAGGCACTAAATAAAAAGCACAAGCAGAAACCACAGCAGATTTTTATATCAAGACCAGCTGGAGTTGTATGCTTGTAAATAGGAAAAGAATCAAGTTGTCCTAGTAAGATGTCTAGGGATGCCTTACCGCATTGAAAATTTCAGGAACCCTCGACTCCCTCATGGCATCAGTTGCATGTCGAACGAGAGCCTGCAAAATTATTTTATTATACCCAGAAGATTGCTTCAAAAAGAAAGGATAGGAGGTTTCTCATGCCTAAAAGGAAACTATAATGGCAGCCGTTCACTAAAAAATTACACAACCAAATGTCCCTTAAAATGATTAAACCCCTTGATTTTTAAATTTTACATGAATGGAATCACTAACCATTTTGAAATTTTCAAGAGAGATGCTCCCATCCCCATTTGGTTCCAACAGCCTGAACTGAGCTCTAAGATATACAAGTTCATCCTCAGTCAAAGCTTTTGAGAGAGCCTGCAATTGTATGGGAAACACGAAAAATGAGTAAGACTTCAATGAACAAAGGAAAAATTCTAGACTTAGCCTCATCTAAGCTGAAGTTTTCGGCGAAGTATGAATCGGATGTTTGACAGACAATGGATCAAATGGTTAATTTGGGATATAATGCATGCTGGTAGTGCAATTCAGAAGTTCAAATTTCAGGTGGATTTATAATTTCATAACTCTTTTTAAGCATACATGTCAACCAGAAAACTTCAGTTTATAAATGAAACCGACCTAATTTTCAAACGAGCAACCATGGAAATCTTCTATGACCTTTCCTCATGAAGCGAATATAAAAAATTTCTTTCTTCATGAAATACTTCGAAGAAATGTCTTGTTGTAAATACTCAAAACAAATTTCTCAATATGGACTCTTGAACAAATACCACTTAATGAATTACAAAGAATCTCAATATCCTAGCCTGAAACATAAATCTATGGAAGTGCATGAAAAATAAAAGAGCAGTACCTTAAGTGCAGCACGTTTGAAAGGTGTAGCATGCACGTATAACTTGACTAACTTATAGATTAGAATATCTAAGGGGATAGAACGGCTATCGTCCCGCAACCATGGATGAGCTGCAATAACAAAATTTTGTCATTGTTTGAAAAGATGTAAATGCCTGAACTATATTATATCACATGTCAATGATAACTCCGAAACAATTATTTCAAAATTTGAATTTACAAGGTAAATGTTAGTGCTAGAGATGTTTTTACATGCTTCATTTGCCATACATAACACACCTCTCTAAATGCTCAATTGACGTGTAATAGAAGCAGAACTTATATTTCTCTTTTAACTTCTTTTTAATATTAATTTGTCTTCTTTCCCTCTTTTTTCTTTGATTGGGGGAGAGGGGAGGGGATT